GGCGTGGGACGCGGCCGACACACGCGGGCTGTGACCCGTCTGGCACAAACACCGTGCTTACTCTGTCCCTGTCAGTTCTAAATCCCGAGGTTTTTCTCCCACTTTTGCAGAGGTCCCTACAAAGACAGAGATGGAAAGAAACCCGCGGTTCTGGTTCTTTGTCAGCAGCATAAAACGGACACAAAGATCTGCCCGGTCCCCCGAAGTCTGAACCCGAGACTGTGACAAATCTGCGAGTGCTGGTGCCGGTTACCGGTTTTCACGCCCGGGTTGTGTTCTCTGCGCTCGCAGTAACCGTGCAGCGTTACTCGGGTATTTTTAGCGGTGACACAGTCCGTGCAATGGAAGAATCTGGTCAGGATCCGGGCAGCTCTGACGGAGGGACATCAAAGCCCTCTAGTGGCATTAATCCCCCTGGGCTTTAGCAACAGCGATGTTTCCTGTGGATGGAGAGAGCCGCCCATACGGGGGATTTTAGAATATTTTTTCTTTAGATTAAGATCAAAGCTTGGAGGCTTTAAAAAATCCCCCATTCAATAGGAGTGTTCCATGTAACTGTCTTTGTGGATTCAAACATTTTTTGTGCAATCACAAGTACTCACAAGTGCTCCCACAGACCATTCCCTTTGCTAAGTATTTTGCTCTTCCCTGTTGCAGGAGCTGCCTCTGTTGATTTATGGTCTTGACTTATGAGCAAAATTGTGCTTGTTCTCTAACTGCTACTTTTTCTTATTTCCTAGAATGGTGAGAACTTCTGCATTCTGGATGAGCAGAAGTTTGCCAAGGAGCTACTCCCCAAGTACTTCAAACACAACAATATCTCCAGCTTCATACGACAGCTTAACATGTGTAAGCATCAGCTGTTCTTGTGTATTCTTTCTGCCAAGTTGATTGCTACTTGGCATTGATTTTAATTTCTTTAAACAAACAAATGGACTTTGCAGGTCTTTTGTCCCTGAAAACCTAAATTCTTGTCTTGAGTTTGCTCTGCAAAAGAAAAGAATAGCAGTAGAGCTTGGCTTAGTCTTTGTTTTCTGTCTTTCAGCTCTGAGACCTTTTGAGCAATAACGGTAAAAATATTGGTTTGTGTGCTGGTACCTAAAGCTTGGGTAGGCTTCACCTGGCTCCAGTGGTAGTGTTGGTGGTGATGGTAACAGCAAACTTGTGCAGGCCTAGAGGAACAAAGGCCCTATCTACCCATGCATCTAGTATGTGAAGAAGATTGCCCAGATCATGCTTTTGCCTGCATGGCCGTGTTGAAACAAGATTAGTCACACTGATCGATCCAGCTGGACTTAAGTTTCTCATGTTTTCTGTGCTCAGCTAGTGAGCATCACGCAGCTTCCATTATATAACACACGTACAACTTGTACGGGCAAAGAGGCTGGAGTGAGGTGGTGATTCAGAGGTCGAGTGCAATGTGCAGGGCTGCAGCACACAAATGGTGGGTTGCAACAAAATAGTTGTTTTGCGGTGGGCAGCTTATGGGCTGGGTGAAGGTGCAACTGCTTAGAAGATGGCTGCCTTATTTTGAATTTCCATTTGGAATAAGGGGGAGGAACTCTGTCCTTGCCCAGTCGGTTTGCCTGGGCTCTAGCTGATGCCTGTTTAGATTTTGTCAGATGTAGAGAGAAAGCACACATTGAGCCTCTTGATACAGGGTGGATGCTGCTGTTTGGGTCAAGACTCAAATCGTTTGAGTGTCAAAGGATAATACAAACAAACAATTATCAGTTGCCTTGTAGCAAAAGTAAATGCTAAAATGCAAATATTCCTGTGCAGACAAGCAGTGCAATGGAAGTCTCCTCTTCCTGCTGGACCTATTCTATCTGTGAGTAAAGTTTTCTAATGATAGCGCTGTTGGGGCACAGTGAAACTGGAATACATTAACTATGTTGAAAACTTGAATGAGGAGAGATATGGATTGGTCTGTCAACTGCATTTTGCATCTACCCTGTGGTACTTGAAGCAGCGCTGGAAATAGAGCTGGCAATGCCTTATTTCATGCCAACAGTCTGGTGTGGAGAAAGTACTCTGCGTTCGTGTGTTTGCATAGAACTAATCTTTCATCCTTCCTTTAGTCTGTAGACCCTGGTGGTTCGTCTGTTTTGAAATGTAGTTGTCAGGGATTACAGGCATGAAAGGGAAGGTGCACTGTTCTGCTTCCACTAGAACAAATTTTTATTCAAGATGTCAGAATAAATCTAATTTCTCACTGACTTCTGTGATTATTTGGACATCCCTATCATGCCTGCCAACACGAGCTGGCCTCTGCATGCTGTTCCTGCAGCCTGTGAGGTCATTTGATGGTATTGTGGACCTGTTCTCTAGCTGTGAAGATTGGAGCAGTCAAATCACTGAGCACCAAGGAAAAGCTACTTTGGCTGGTTTTCATAGTTCCTGTTCCCAGTAACTGTAGTGCTGTAGGTATTCCAGTAGCCTTGGGGTTCTCTTGAGCTGTGTGTTGTAACAGTCAGCTCTGCACTGCAAGAAATCACTTTGTTAATTCCTCTCCACAGATGGTTTCAGGAAGGTGATTGCTCTGGAGAATGGTATGATTACAGCAGACAAAAGTTCAGTCATTGAGTTCCAGCACCCTTTCTTCAAGCAAGGGAAGGCACATTTACTGGAAAACATCAAGCGCAAGGTACAGTCTGAGCTTGTATCTACTTCACTTTGTTATGTAAAGTAGTTTATCAAGAGCAGAGCATGTCTGAGGGTTTCAAACACTTTACAGACAACAAATTCCCTGTGATCCAAGCTTGTACATCAGCAAGCCTTTGTAACTCTCTCCTGAACCAGGCTGATGCTTGGCTTGGCCTCCTCGTGCCAGCTCTCAGACAAAACGCAGCCTGCTGTTGTTTAGCCACGCACTGGAGCAGGACCGCAGTCTTCATAGGTGTCAAACCAGAGCTCTTTTTTCCAGAGAGAGTTCACACATGCAATTACAGCTTAGCATGGTCTTCAGTTCTGCCAGCATAGCAGATTTGGAAAGAGTCACAAAGTGAAAGAAGTGAAAGGAAATATATTCCCATTTGATGCTCACTGAAAATTAGCAGGGGCATCAGTAATCAGTTCATTTGCGTGAGTTTGCATAAATTACATCGATCCTCCAAAACTGTGTTGCCACTAAGCTGCATCTTTATTAGCACTTCCCAGTTTTCTTTTGTATGTTGTCTGACCTGTTTCTGCACAGATATTTATCCTCTATTGGCACATTAGAGCCCATAATATCCTGACTGCCAGAGAAAGAGAGTGTCATGATACATCGTGTTGACGTTTGAACTGCGGAATCTTTGCTTCAGAATGTCGCAATGGGGTAGCTAAAGCACCCAAGTTAATAAAAGCACAGGGTAGGCCTGAGAGTCACAATTGTGTTTTGATTGATTCTTCAGTGAGCTGCTCTGCTCAGAATCACAATTGATTCAATATAGTTGTACAGTTGCTTCTCTGACTCAGGCCTGTGCCCTTCCCAAATGCTGTAATCCCTGACTTGTCTTGGCTTGCAGACCTCGCTTGCTGGTATGTTGGGGCAGTCAGCTGATGACGTGAAGTATGGCACCATGCATGCCAGAAGCATTGCTCTGGGTGGAGTATTCCAGAGGGAAAGACAAAAGCTTTGTTAGTGCCAAGGACATTCATATGAAACTATTGAATAGGTTGGTAAAACGTATTCTTTGTTGCACAGGAAGTGCGAGTGATATTTTGCAAAACATCCATTAGTTTTTCTCGCTCTTTTATTGCCTGGAATGGAGTCATATTGCAGGACTTCCTATAAACTGGATTTGAAGCCTCTAACAGGAATGCAAGTTTGAATGCAGGACTTCCCTTATTTACTCCCTTTTACTGTTAGCTCTGCTGGTGTGCTTCAGTTGTGACACCCTTATTATCTAGTTGGAGACTGAGGAGAACAGTTCCTTGCACTTGGGCAGAATGTTTTAGTTTGGCCCCTCTTTTTTAGAGGCAGGCTGACTGCATTTGTAATTTCCACTTGCTGTCTGCATCTTTTGGGTGTCTTCCCCATGGAGAGGTGGTGTGTTGAAGAGAAATCAGAGCGCCATGAATTTCATTTGGGATACGACTCGTGTACCTTAGCATAAGGTATTATCTGCAATGGATAGTGAGGCATCTAAAATACAGACAGAGGGAGGCTGCCCCATCCTTTGTAACACTGGGTTGTGTTAAGAAAGTGGTTAGTTATTTCTCTGGAGTGGTTCCATAATTGTTATGTTCTGTTTTGTCATGAACTGATGGGACGTTATAACACCATAGATCCATTTGTGACCATCCCATTCTCCTTTGGAAAAAAAGCGATCTGTGAGACAGCCTGCATGGAAGTTGCCTAGCACTGCAGTGGGCTCATCCCTGATGCTTATGCCTCCCTTTTGGAATTCAGTAGAAAAACAAAGAAATATCCTAGCATGCTGGAGGTTGGAAGGGACATGTGGTGGTTACCTGGGGCAACTCCTTGTGGTTCAATTATGGTCAGTATTTGGCTAAATGATTTTTGAAATTGCACCCACAAAACCTGAGATGTCATTCAGATGTGTAATACACCAGATCTGTCTTTTTCAAAATCCTGAGTTGTACATTAGCCATCAATGCCACCACCACAAAGAGAGTTGCTGAAGGAATTGGAAAATTTTGAATGTGGAAGTGTGGGGAGGAGGGAGGGAGCTTTTTGCTTTCTGATAACTCTTCCACCACCATTTGAAGAGGTGGCATTCATGGATTCTTCTGTGGGCAGAAAAGCAGTTTGGACTCTGACTTTCTGGAGACAAGTCTCCATAATTTTGGAGTGTCACTGAGTGGAGAGTTGTCCTGGTTTTGCTAGGGTAGAGCTAATTGTCTTCTTAGTAGCTAGAATAATGCTGTGTTTTGGTTTCCGTATGGGACTTGTTATGAGAAGAATGTTACAGCATACTAATGTTTTCAGTTGTCGCTGGAAGACAAAGGACGTGTCCAACTTCCCCATGTTCTGCTAGTCTGCAGGTGCAAAGGACTCAGGGGGAGTGTAGTAATTAGCAAACCCAAACTGGCATTTGGATATGCCAGTAGGATATTCCATGTCATATAGAACGTCATGTTCAGTATATTAATGAGGGTTGGCTGGAAAGCTCAAGGATTCTCTCAGGGATCACTCGGGCTCGCTCTTCCAGGGTTGTGGTTTTGGTTTCAGGATTGTCTTTGCTCTGGAATCACTGGCTAGGGAACAGGCTGGGCATTGGTCAGTGGGCGGTGAGCCATTTCAAATATTAAGCTATTTTTATCTCAACCCATGAGTTTTCTCACTTTTACCCTTCTGATTCTTTCCCCCATCCTACTGGGAGAGGGTGAGTGAGTGACTGTTTGGTGTTGGGCTGCTGGCCAGGCTAAACCCACCACAAGAGGTAACAGAGGAAACACCACTATAGGAATCTGCAATTTTGGGGGTCTAGGACATTTTTCAGATCAAGTAGGATTCATCTAATTAGACTCCTGGTTTTTTGTTTTCTCTGCTTCCTCCATCCCCCCAGTAACTTAGTGGAAATCTGTTACTCCTGTGCTGAGAGATCTACCCACACCTAAAAGGAATATTGTCGCCTGGCTCTTACTCCACTGTTGTGTTTTGGTTTTGGCTGGTGTCTTACTCTGACACTAGAGGGCAAGCTGTCACCAGACCTGTCAGAGGGAACCCCCTAGGGAAGGCCATTTTCTATCAGTGCTGGGTTTTTATCATTAATTACAATGTGAATCTACTGTCTAAACATACAAAATGCTGCTGTTCCTATAGAAAGGAGCATGCAAGGCACTGCTCATAGTAAAGTATGTGTAACCTGGTCCTATTTTAGGTTTCTGCAGTAAGAACTGAGGATCTCAAGGTCTGTACGGAGGATTTGCACAAAGTACTCTCTGAAGTCCAGGAAATGAGAGAGCAACAGAACAATATGGATGTCAGGCTGGCTAACATGAAGAGGTAGACTCCGTCTGTTTCAGAGGCACTTATGCATTGAATGTTGTTTGTATCTAATGGAGCTTGACTCTAAATATGGGTTTCATTTGAACTGGAAACAGGTGAAGCTATATTTTTTTTTTAAGAATCCCCATTCCACCCCACACAACATTCTGAATCTTCCTTGTTTTCATAATTCAGTAAAGACCAGACATTAAGACTGGGAGTTTGTTGACTATCTTGAGATTTCATTTTGGTTGCCATCACCTGTAGTAGTTTTTTAGGGCGATCAAAGCAATTCCTTTTCTAAACAAAAAACAGGGTTAGATGCAGTGAGAGAGAGAGAGAGAGAGAATTAGTGTGTGGATTTCTTTCTCATTGGAAGTGGACTTTGCATGTCCTCATCTCTGTTCCTTCAGATTCCTTTTGAATAGGCACTAGTGATTCATTCAGATCATCAGTATGCAAGCAGATATCAACCAAAGTTCAGGAGATAACTTTCACTCCACTCCTTCTGTTCCTTTTAAAAATCCCTAACTAAACAACAACAAAAAATTGCAAACACAAACTTTGAAACTGTTCTGAGGTGGTCTGTTACACTCAGCCTGTTTCCAAACACCAAGTCTTTATTCTAAGGCTTTGAGGCTTTGAAGGAATACCTCAGACCAAGACAACTGGCCAAGCAGCAAAGGTTAAGAGTGTCCTCATTAGTGAGTGTTTGGTCCTGCCTGATGGAAAACGGAGTTAATTTAACCCAGAGGTTATAGCAGTGGATCACATTAACTGATTGTTAGTTATCCACAGAAGGAATGTTGCCATTGGTCCTGCAAGGTACTGTGAAAGTTTGAAAGCTGTAAAACTAAAGCATATCAAGTAAACTCTGTTCATCCTCTGTCTTCTGATTTATTCTGCATTGCAGAGAAAATAAGGCCCTGTGGAAAGAAGTGGCAGTTCTAAGGCAGAAGCACAGTCAACAACAGAAGCTGCTGTCTAAGGTACCATTGCAGCATCTTCAGTGCTACCATCCTTATTCCTGCCTCTGTGACACCTGATGGCATTCTTTGCTTATGTAGAATGACAAATGACACAGAGCTGAACAGGCTATATTAATACAGCATAAAGAAAATGTTCACAGTTCCTGAGTGTCCCAGAAGTAGCACAGCAAAGAACCACGAGCAAAATACTGAGGAAAAGTTGTAGTAAAAAGGATTTCAACGTGTTTGAAATCTCAGTGAATCTTATCTGGAGATAAATCAGTAAATCAAGCTAGCCTGGGGTAAACGTGGGGCTGGAGGCAGTGCATGGTAACAGGAACCTAAAACAAGAAATTGCAGGCACATGGAATGGAGACTGGGAAAGATCTTGGACCAAGACAGACTTAGACCACTCAAGAAGTCAACTTGGAACCCAGAAACTATAGGAGCTTCTGCACTGGAACAAATTTTCTCTGGTTTATCCCTCAGCTGTTTCTGGTCTGGAATCCTCTAGTGACTGGTGGTGTTATATTACATTTTTAAAACAAACAAGCAAAACTGTCCAAGTGGGATAATTTTTCAGTGCCATTTCTAACTATCGTTTTGGTTTTTAAGATATGAACACAAATGGATTTTTAATTTACCTGTTAATTTCAATCACATAACTACATAATTCTGTAGTAAAATCTGAATTAATAATTTAATGTTAGGATTGCTTTGCTGACCACATGTTTTTCGGTTTTTGTTTTTCCTTTTTAGATTCTTCAATTTATACTAAGTTTGATGCAAGGAAATTATATTGTTGGGGTCAAAAGAAAAAGGTAATTACTGAATAGGTCACAAATCAGTGTCAGATGTGAATTATAGGGATAAATCAGCTTCTAGAAGCAAGGTACTTTTCTTAAAGTGTATGAAGAATATTTTTATCACTTGTATATTCAAACGTGAGAAAGCTGATGGAAGTTGAATTAAGCATGAAATAAAGATTTCCTCTTCTTGATCACTGAAAAAATTAGTGGGAAGAGAATATACTATAAATTTTAAATTTCCAAAGGCACAGTTATCAGAAATGTAACTCTCTCAAAATGTGCAAATGTGACTGACTTACTCAAAACAAAATGCATGTTTAGAACGCAAACTGTCTGCAGTACATTTACTAAAAAACATCTCCAAAAGCCACTTCTCTTAGAGGTAGAGGAATGATTGTTCTTACCATATTGGCACATATTTTGCTACAGCTTTTTGTGGCAGAACTACATACTAAGGCTGTATTTTGTCTCAGGTCTCTAACAGACGCTGCAGGTGCTTCACCTTCCAAATACAGTCGCCAGTACGTTCGCATACCTGTGGAGAGTGGCCAAGCAGTAAGTCTTCCCAGGGAAAGAATGAATGGGTTGGACAGGATGATGCACAGTGATCTCGAAGTCTTCCTTACAGCTGTTAATACCCTGACCTTATAGACAAACTCTCTCCCTTCTGAAATGGGCAGCTTTAAAGCAGTGCTCTGTAAAATCATGCAAATCAGTGCAACTAGTCGTAGATGAAATCTGAACAGGACGTAGACGCTGCAAGAAGAATGGAGCTTCAACACAAAAAAAAATCAGACCTTTTGGCTTACTCATTCCATTTGCTGTATCCTGCAGATGGCTTTTTCTGAACATAATGTGGACGATGAGGGTGGAAATGGCACAGGTCTCATCATTCGAGACATCACTGATACCCTGGAAAATGCCACCGATGATCTCCTTGCTGTGGCACACACAAGTGGCAGAGCCAGGTACGTTTAAAGGATGTGGAAGTAGTTATGCTTAGGTTGTTAACTACGTAGTTATGTTAGTGTAAGTGATCCATATGAGTTCTGGGAAACAGCATCTCTGATTTTTCATTCTGTTCGTGCATGACAGGCCTGGTTGTAGGCTGACGTTTTTACAGCGTGTAGCATTGGTCTTGGTCAGCAAAGCTTTTTAAATGCTCCTATCTCTTCAGGAGTGCCTGAAGGCCTATCACACTGGTTGGCACTTGAAGTTTAATTTGATGAGGCTTTTCTGTCTGATCAACGAATAAGCACATACTTAACTTTTTGACTGAACAGGGGGGACCTGAATGCGTATATAGGTTATATATGCATGACTGTCTTGACCTTATTAGGTATTAAGATTTGAGATACTAAACTTGCAATGATTAGTAATATAGTTGATGAATTCTCCTGTGTGTTGTTTTTTTTTTGGGGGTCATATTTTAGAGAGACACAGGCAGCTCTGGATCCTGGCTTACCTGTTTGTCAACTATCACAGCCAAATGAATTATATTGTACAGAACCTATCCCACCAGTTCACATAAATGATGTCAGCAAATCCAGTGAAATAGGAAATGCTGCTGTGGAACTCCATTCTGTGCAACCTAATGCTCCGGAAGATCCTGTGTCAGTGATCGACTCCATCTTGAACGAGAACAGCTCTGGAAGCCAAAATGATCCTTTACTGGACAGGTATTAACTTGTTTCTGGAAACTCTTAGCTGTCGTCATCTTGCAGGATCTTGTCAGAGTTTTAGAGGATGTGTTGTAGCAGATGGTAGTGAATTAGCTTTTTAAATGTCATTGATGAACTGAATTTTCTGCCCCTTTGGTCTGGAAAAAGACAAGCGTTAGCAACACACACTAAAAGCAGTGCAAGTTCATCGGTGACATCTCTGATAATGAGCGTGCCTGACTTCTGATGTGTCAGTCTGAGGACTGGTGAGGTCAGTCTGTCTGATGTTGTTCCACTGTTGCTTCCTTTTTTTTGCGCCCCTTGTGCAAAGGTTTGTTTCCCTTGTGCATTGTCAGATCACGCTGACCCTTTGTCAGATCAAAATCCTGCGGGCTGTGGTTTCTCACCCAGCAGCACTGCTGCTTGAGCACTTCTCAGCTCTGCGCTGGCCCCTGAGCTTTATCAGAGCCATCATTTGTGTGGCTGCAGAGTGAGCTGCATCAAGGAACAAACTTCATTTCATTCTTCTGCTGTGGTTAACCTCAGGTAGGCAGTACTGGGAGGATGTGTCACAGCCCACGGCCCTGTGGTATCTTCTCATGGGCCCTGCAGAATAGGGGCAGTGCCTTGCACCTGTGTTGCTCGTAGTGGAGTGTTCCAGCAGAGGAGGTAGCACAGTGCATGCAGTTTCCGTTCCACTTCATCCACTGTCCCTGTGTCCTGCCCACTGTCCTTGGAAACATGTACAACTTGGCAACAATCTGATGTTTCAGAATAGGCAGTTTTCCTTCAGATCCAGATTATCTCTAACATTTAGTGTCCCCAAGTGAAAGCCATCGGACCTGAGTTTAAACAGATACTGGTATGTAGGCTGGGATTTGAGGACATTCAGAAGATGTTAAAATGAAGGCAGAAGTAGGTATGGAATGAGGAACTGCTTTTGGAGGTGATGGCTGTTACTGTACCTGTTGTTCAGACTGTCTTCCCTCTACCTGTCCTTCAAAGAGTTGGACCATGACAAGTGATACAGGAGTGTGGTTTCATTCATTTGGCAATAAGCTGTTCTGGATTATGAGCAATGTGCCTTGTGGTGTAAAGCCAACCATTTCTTACACTGCTATATAATTTTGTCTTTTTAGAGAAGAAATTCAGGATTTTCTTAATTGCATTGATGCCAGCCTTGAAGAGCTTCAAGCAATGTTATCTGGGAAGCAGTATAACTTTGATTCTGAAGCTTTCAGTGATGTGAGTGTCTTTTCACTTTTTCTGATTTCTGAAAAATACTGATTAGGTTGCATCATGAAATTTAACTGTTTTGTTCCATGTTGTAGTAGGCAGGAGGGGGGAAAATTCTGAAAAGCAAATAGTTATGGATAGAATGATACATAGTCATTCCAGGAGTCTAACAGGGTACAAGGTGACATTGAGAGCCTTTTTCAGTTCATACAGTGTTTCTGTTATACATAACTCAAGGGAGTGGGGAAGGAAAAAATTGGACACACTTCTCCCTCTCAAGCCTTTGCCACATATCATCACACCCTGATTATGTGTTTGATTATGTATTGTGGAATGAAACTCAGCCATATACCTGGAATCCCTGGGAAATACAGTGTCCCTTTCTTCTCCTGTAACCTCAGTTTACTACCACAGGTTGAAAGTATATTGCTGTAGGTGTGTGGAGGAGCCAACTTTCCTTGTGCTTCAGTGCATGGAGTGCTGAGCTGGATCCTGCTGTGCTGGATCCTGCTGTGCTTTCAGGAGGTCTCCAATGTTTTGTTTTAAGGACCTTACTATATGATATATGGTCTGGTTTTATTTTCAGACGCTTAATCCTGAACTGCCAGCCCTGGATATGAGTTTGATGGAAACTTCCCCTGGTATGGAAAATGTAAGAGTAAGATTTGCTTCTATGATGGGGAGGGTTAATACGATGTTGAGAGCTAAATTTTGACTGATGCAGTTTGAGGGCAGGGACTGGATTGATAGCAAAGGATGAAGATGCCATTTTATCTGGTCCTGCTGACGTAATATTTTCGGTTATCACTGTTGGCATATATGAATTTAAGAGGGTTCTCAAGATAATTTCAAGGCTCTAGGTGAACCTGCTTTAGCAGAAGGGTTGGATCAGATGGTCTCCAGAGGTCCCTTCCAACCCCACCATTCTGTGATTCAGTTCCTGGCTGCAGTAAGACACTGGTTGGGCTGATCTAAACTGCTGCTTTGCTTTGAATAACATGTTCTTTGCTTTCTGAATACACCTGAGAACATAAGGAAGAGGGAAACAAACTGGTGTCTGTTGAATCAGCTGTCTGAAATTTTTTTATTCCTCTCTGTTAGTCCATACCTTCTGTTTAGAATGAGGAGGCTAGAAAATCTTTTCTTTTTCTTTTTTTTCAGGGATTCCCATGATGTCTTTTAGCCAAGTAATAACTAGGTCTGGGGTTATAGTTCAGATGAGATTGTGTGTCTTCAGTCTGTCTGAAGACTGAGAAAAAGTACTAAATGAAAAATAAAATACAATATACTGTATTTATTCTGAACACAGCTGTATGGAATTTCCTCAGAGGACATACAAAAGTTCAGTGCCAATTTACTTCCCTTGGTCTGGTTCCTAAAAGTGACTCATGTTAAGAAAAAAAACCCCTTGCAAGTGTCATTTATTTTGTAGTCCTGAAATAATATTTAAAGTAGGACCTCCAGTCATAAGAGCTTAGACTAAAACTGAGGTAAAATGTAGCTGTGTTCAAGCAGTGCTTGTAAAATTTAATTATATTGATGAAATCATATTTAACACTGTTATTCCAACAAGACAAACTATAATAAAGCTTCTGGTTTGGAAGGTAAAATAAATATTTGCTACTCAGAAGCTTATTTGGCTTTAGTAAAGTGAAGTTTGTATTTCACTGTGCCTTCTTCTGAGAGCTTCTGTTTGCTGGCCCTCGTGTGCAACAGTGGGCTCAGTGGTCAACTGTTTCATTTCTCTTCCCTCCTCCTTTTACCTTTAATTTTGTTAACCAGTCAGTGAAGACTGGGATGATTATGTTGTTGCTGTTAAGCCTTCTGTCTTACTCTCTGTCCTTTTTACTTCAGATTGGAAACGTGGCAGAGAGCACGGAAGATCTGGCAGCGAGTGAGAGAGAAACAGCAGGAAGCAAAGGTGGGCAGGAAGGAACAGAGAGCTGTGACAGCTCCAAACTCTTCCAAAACTGTGTATTGAAATGGAACTTTTGTAGCCTGTAATATGGCTTATCTCCTTTGGTCTGAGCTTAAAATTTTTGTGAAGACTGGGATGTTTTGCTGATTTTGATGAAGCTGTGCCTCAATGTTAAGAGGCCCCATGTTGGTGTTAACTGTTTCCTTTTTCTTATACGTGACAGAATGCCACAATAAGGAGCAGAACTGCAAATGTCCTTGTGGAAGTGTCTCCTATATGGGCTACGACCCCCACAAATGCAGTACAACTCCTTTTACTGCTTCTGTGCTGCCATTGCATGGCATTTGTATTAGAGGCTTAAAGTGTGCTGCAGATACTGATCTTAACAGACACGGGAGTCTTGGCTCCTCTCTTGCAGCTGTGGATGTAGTCCATCAGAGCTCAGCTGTATGGTTTTCTTTAGTCAACCAGGTTTTGAAGCAGCCTCTCCAGTTTTCCTTGTCTTGAATAAGAGCCTTCACATATGTGACACAGGAGCCTGGAGTTTAAACTGTTTGTTTTCTCCCAGATATGCAGCTAATACAGTACAGGGCCAATCCTCTGCTTTCATTATTTGAAGAGCTACCTTCCAGCGAAGCAACAGAGAAGACAGAGGATCAAAAAGACCTTCTGCTGCCCGCCCTGGAGGAGAAACCTGCTCTTCAGCCTCCATCAGGTGGTGGAACTGTCTTGCCGCTAGCAGCTCCGGCAAGCCAGGCTGAGCCTCTGGATGCTCTGGGAATGGGTGATCCACCTCTCCTCTCCGAAGATGGGAATGGAGAGTATAAACTGTTTCCACTCCTGCTCCTCAGTCCTGTTGCTAACTTCATAGAAGAGGCCTCTGAGATAGAAACTTCTTGAACTCGCATAACATCTGTAACTGGCTTAGTGATGTGAAATAGGTAACAGAGAAATGGATCAGCGAGAAGTTTGGTCTCTCTCCTCACCTGCTTCCTGGGTGTCATATTCTGTGTAGACAAAAGAAAGTTCTGCTGTCTACAAGCAAAGAGCACACCTGGAAAAACTGAAAACAAGCTCAAAACAAGAGCTGGTGGGAGTGAAGGCACTGGGCGGAGGGGAAGAACAACCTCCCTGTAAACATACTGCAACATATTCCATAACTTTTTATCCAATATCCTTACTGCAAAGGAAATCTGTTTGTATCCTGATTGCAAAGTTTGGCTGGGGTTTTTTGTTGTTTGATTTTTTTATTATTAGCTGGGTAGTAATGTGGTGTGTAATATTTTAAACATAAGTTTTACTGTTTCTGAGAGCCTTTCAGTAGGTGGCTTGTCTACTGTTTGGAATTAAGATTTTTTTTCTTTAATTTTGTTTTTATTTTGAGATTTCTTTTTTGATAGTTTATGGCTACAATTGTTTGCATCTGCTTAGATCACTTTCGTACTCCTAGATTTGCTCCTAGGTACAGGGAACATTTTTCCTATGGAAAATTACATTTTAACTGTGGAATATTACTTTTTAACATGCTGACACACATCCATTGCCACAGATTGTAGGTGTTGTGGTGGGAAGTGCTTGCCACCCTGCATAATGCTGATTTCTCATGCACATTGCATGGCAGTTCTTCTAGGGTAACTTGCATCTAGCTCACAGGTCACGTGTCCTCAGAAATTTTGAGTAGAACTGATTCATGTCTAGCAAAGTCCAGCAGCTGCCCTTCAAATAGGGGGGGCAGGGAGGAGTCGTGGAGTAACTTGCATTGACATAGGACATCACATTAAGATTTCTCTTCTGCTTGCAGCAGCTACTTGTTTACCTGACCCTATATGAACGCTGGACTTCTTCATTTTCTACTTGTGGAATCTTATAGCTAAATTAACTAGATTAATTTTGAGTCCTTTGACAGTGAATCACAAAAACTAGTGTCTGCTTAATCAAAAAAATCTTTCCCCCAAATGCCTTTCTACACTGTTTTCCTAACTCCTTTGAGCAACCGTAACACAGACATCAGCCTCTGCTGTCAGTTGAATAGCAAGTTCTTCTTCACTGATGCCAAGTTTGTAGCAGTCTACCACTAGCCTACACAGACCTGAAATTTGCTGTAGCAATACAAAACTGTTGGGTCTACAAGAGGCAAGTAGAAAACCAGTTGTATAATATCATGTGATATTTCCTACCAGCGCAATTACTTGGCAGTTTTTTTTCAGTTTTAGGAATTCAGGCTACCTCCAGGCTTTGTTCTCGCCAAAGTTTCTGAACTAATAAGTTTTAGTTCTTTTATATTAAAGAATCCAAGTTAATCTGGTATTCCAAAACCTACTAGATAATGCATGTTATCTGTGCAGGCCTTGCTTAATTGGATTTGTGCTTCACTGTCAAATCTTTTGTGTTGCAGAGGAGGATCTTGCTCCTGTGTGTGTGTATGTGTATTGCCTTCACAGCGTCATTTTATTCCCGTGCTTCTGTAACTCGTCTTTACCCCATGACCCTTCGTGTTTGTATCTTTTGACTTGCCTTTGCCTGCGTCTTATTCCAGCCTTTTCTAGTCTTTCTTTTGCTTATTTCTTTAGACAAAGGGCTGAATAGTCTCAAATTTTCATGAGCTAAAGGGAGAAGGGGAAATAAGGGAATTGCATATCTGGCTCGGGGTCTGCTTTTTTTTTCATTTCCTTCCAAATGCCTCCATTTTGCCAAGAGTGAAACAGTAAAAAACAGACTTTTCTTCTGTGCTGTTTTGACAGCACAGTGCAGACAAAAAAGTTCTTTGAGAGGCTGATCTTCTGTAACTCTCAATTCCTGAGCAGGTTAGACCGAAGTGTAGTTCCTGTTGTGGATTGCTGTCATGTTCTTCCATCATGGAGTCCTCTGGTCTCAGTGCGTCTCACCATCAGATATTTGATCTGACTGCATAATAGTTTTTTAATACACTTTGTCTCTTATGAAGTTAAGAAACCAAGGCTTAAGAAAACTTCAGGTAAAAACGTGTGCATCTGTGACTGGTTTGTTTATGTACTGGTCTAGGAAAATTGTTTGTTTATGCAAGTTTCCTAGGAAAGACTGCAGTGAAAAGGGGAAGGCTGAATGGCAAGAAAAACCCACATGCTGAAGTAATTAAACTCAAGAATTGCAAAACCATTACTGTGTTTCGTGTACGTTCTTTCTGTGTCTGTTCCTCTGTGTGCCAATACTTCCCAAACATGTTTACTGAATTTTCTAGAAAGGAGAGCTTTACTGCTCTCCAGGGGGACCTCATTATGCTGCAAGGACAAGGACACAGCAGTGGTGTCATCACTGGAAGCCACGGGCAGGCTGGTCTGTCAGGGTCAGCAGCACAGCACAGGCAGGCAGCACTGGCCAGATGGCAGTGGATCACGACCCCCTTGATGTCCAGCAGCCTGGTGTGCATCACCGCTGCTGTCCTGTCCTGTTGTACATCACTACAGGGCTACGACACCACTGCAACTTGCTGCGTAACAAGTTTGTGTCACGCGTGACCACAGTTGCTTCACTATAATGCAAGTTCCCTTCTCCAGCAGCAACGCGCACAGCTGCTGCTTTTACTTCTTGACGTTAGTGTGCTGTGTCACAGTACCTGGGGAAGGAAACGTTACTTTTCCGTGGCTTCCATGTGCTGAGAATTTACAGAACACACCCAGGCATGGCAAGCACAGTGTGAGAAAGCAAAAAGTGTCCTTCACATGCTCCTTTCATAATTATTTTTCACTCTTTCAGACTGTGTCAGCCTAGCCATCATTTTTTTTTTTGTCTTGTTGCTTTGTGCTTGCTAACACAGAGCTTTCCAGAATGTGAGCTAGCCTGGTGACTTGCCAGGGGAGGGACAACAAGCCATGCAGTGCCTCTCAGGTGCCATCAACTGCTTGAAGAGAAACACCACTCTCCAATAAAGCTTCAATAAACCCTCTTCTGGAAGTACAGGCAGAGAGGCAGTGCAGCTCATGATGGCCTTCGATGTTTCCAGTGAGTTACTTCGATCTGTCTCTCCTGGGTCTGTATGATGCCATCTCATCCAGTCCGTGCTCAAAATGTTTTGCTGCCTCCTAAAAGAAGATTGCTGTTTTGAAAAGCAGCATCCGTGTTACCATAGCTCCCCAAAGCAGAAGCAAACGATTGCTACCAAGGGCCATTTTAGTGCACAAGTGTCTATTTGCATCATAGAAAGGACAAGAGATTTCTCCTTCCACTGTCCCCCCAACCAAAAAGGTAAGTGTAAATAGAAATATGTGCACTTTTTTTTTTTTTGTCAAGCAGTTTGAGTTTAGCTTCCTGGTTGGTACATACCCTGCCAGTTGTAGGTTCCTTTATCATTTAGTCTGAGTCAGTTTAGACTTCTGCCCTCTCATCCAGCCAACCATGTTCCCCAGGAAGGAGTTTCATTAATTTGAACTTACGTTCTTTTCTCTTCCTTTTTGAACCAAGAAGTATGTAAATACCAAAATCCACACAAGCTTTCCCTGCTTTTCCCCATCCCAGTGACTGCAGATTGGAGTTGCATCTCATGGAAAATTTCTGATGGGGAAATACAGGGCTACCAGGGAGCAGCATGCGAAATCAAGTCCCAAAATCTCTCGAATCTCTGTTGAACCTTTTTCTCAGCTTTATCAAGTAGGATAATTTCAGAAGCATTTAACCTTAAGATGATTATATGTCATCTTTAATTACAGGTATAACTGCAAATACAATAGATGGTAAAAAATAATTTGCATGGATGATTCTGTAGGCCATGACTGACAAACAGCCACAAGGGTATAAAGACTTTCTAACCAAAATGGCATGTAGTAAAATCACTAGCTTCAGGGAAACAGAGATCAGAATGTTAAAACCTGAAAAGAACCAAATTCAAACTCATGCCAATAACATTGTCATAGTTAGATCAATGTTAATAGCAAGTAGTAAAAGAAAAAAAATCACAGTCCTATATGCATATATGCTTTTAAGCACCCTTGTTTTGCAGAACAAACTATGAATGACTCTAAAATAAGAACATCTGTAAAAGCAAGCAATCACAATGAAAGCAAAGACTCAATAGAAAAGGAGCAAGATAATATGAGAGCTTTAGGGCTGTATAACCAAATCTCCTGGTTTTAATGTTAAATTACATAAACCTAATGAAGCTTCCTACAAATGGCAATGTAGGTGGAGCCACCTTTAAGCCATATGCAAGACCAGAATAAATATGTTTTCCCCATATTGGCACTACTTCAGAATCAGGTACGCAGCACTGATTGCTCTGGTGTCCTGTGCCATCTCACTAGCGTTAAAGGAGGGCTGTACTTCAGAACATGGCCCAGGAGTTTGTTGACTGTGTTTAGTTATTCTGGTTACTTGCATTTGAGGACTGGATGTTGAATCTGGATGTAATAATAGCAAAGTGCTTACATCAATTTAGCTGAATGCAATGAAGCACAAGTGATTTCTGTCATTACAGCAGATGAAAAATTAAGAGCTGCAGAAGACAGAAAAAGGCATGTAAAATCTCTTGAAGATTCAGTAGTTCCAGAAGTTTCAGTAGAGAGCAGATACTTCCCCTATATGGGTGCTATTACTTAGCAATACAGATGAACTCTAACTAATATTACCTTTAATTAATAATAACACACCTCATTTCAGTTAAGAAGTCTATGATTTCATAGTCTGGAATATTTTCTGCTTTGATAAGTTCCTTTTTTCCTCTCTAGGCATATAATTGTTAACCCATTTCCAAAGCAGTCTACAAGGAAATGCAGGTGCATATGGCCCTAATCCAAGTCTTTAATTGAATGCAATTAATCAATTCAACCAAGCAGTTAAATTGCTATGTGAGGAAGGAGGATCAATCTGTGATACAGAGTGGAGTGATCAAACAAGGTGCCTGCAGCTCTTGGAAATTGGTTGTTTTCAGA